GTCATGGTAATAGAATAATAGAGTTTAAGCTTATAAACTCTCATGATCTGCTAGAGGGCAAGGTATTAAGTCCCCCATGTATTCTTTTCTGGGAAAGAAATAAGATAGAAGTTGCAAATTAATAAAAAAAATGTCATAACAAATAGTAGCATTAGAGTGTTGGCAATGAAGGCCAAATCCCGATTCTCCGATCCTGATGTCGATTCAAAAGATAATATTCTCATATCAAAAGCCTTCAAGATGCATGTTCTTGAATAAAGTGGTGGTTGGATTTGGTCAAGCGACTTTTGATTGTGAAATATCCAAAAACAAATTTGCACTTATTAGTCAGATTTACATTTCTTTTTTGCCTCTCAAGAGTGAGCACTCTCTATGCCAACTCACCATTGTATTGGTGGAAAAAAGATGTCACACGTGGAACCTTACTGAGCTGACAAAGCATAATATGTGAAACAATGGTGAAGTGACAACTGGCATATTCCGTTAGTGAAATTAAGAGTACAAGGAAGATGCGGACTAAACACCCACGGAATAGTAAAAAACACATGAACAAGCCTAAACAGTTGTTGAAGAAGAGGCACCAGCGGAATGAATCAAGGCCAAAAAAGAGGGAAGATTCATGAACCAACAATAAATAAGGAAAGGGAATCAGAATCGTTATAAGGCATTTATAGCTACGAATACGTCAATTATGGTTATCAACCATAACGAGAAATCAATACCATTAATGCTCATAATGAATTCGTCATAAATAGGGAAAAACTTTATGATTAGATACTCCTATATAAGGATAGAGAATCCCACTTGTAAGGACAAGTTCCAAACACTACTGAAATATACTTACAATTTCTCGCTTTACCAAAGCCTTCAACTTAATTTGAGGGATAGATTATTATTTCATTCTTTATTTCTTTTTGCTAATTCACATTGTTATTTTTATTTCTCTTTTCAAACGAATTGTTGAGGAAGTAAGGTATTATTTGGTTATCAGTAGCCCGATTTTTTCTAAATATAGGCTTTGACTAAAAATTCTATTTTTTTGGTTAAACAAATTGGTTCTGTTACCGGAAATCTAATAATCTTTTTACTTTCCAAATTATTCTTTCTCACAACCAAATTATGTCAACTGGCAACGACAATAACCAACTGAACCCTCAAGAGGGAACATCACCACATCACTCTCCATCAGAATTCCCTCGCCAGTCCCGAGAAGGATCACCTGAGAGATCCACATCATACGCTAATGATCAATAAGGGGATGAACAAACTGTAGAAAAAAATATTCTAAAGCAATTGATTGCGGAACACGTAAATAATGCTCTTCAAGCCTTTGTTAGGGGGTTGCCAAACACGCCGCAAACTCCTCCATCAGCCAATACGACGACTTTAGAAAACCCACGCTCGGGACTCGATAACTCGAGTAGTGGAGGAGTTCCTAATAAATCTTGTGATGGGGCGGTCAGGTACGCCTAATAACTTAGATTTACAAAGTTTGGTACTAACTTTGCAGAAACAGTTGAAAGAGCAAAACGATCGCATAGAGCAAATACCTGGCGTACCTCCCGTAATAAAAGGTGTGGATATTGATAAGTATTCGCAGCAACCTTTGAAGCCAAGTGCGGCTCCTCTGCCAATTCCTAAAAAGTTGAAATGCCTGATATTCCAAAATATGATGGAACAACTGACCCTCGAAACCACGTAACTGCGTTTACAACTGGCGTAAAGGGCAACGATTTAACCAAGCAGGAAATTGAATCAGTTTTGGTTAAAATATTTGGAGAAACACTCACGAAAGAGGCATTAATATGGTATTCTCTTTTACCTGAAAACTATGTTGATTTTTTTTGCCAAGCTTGCAGATTCATTCATAAAAGTACATTCGGGAGCTCAAAATGTTGAAAAAAAGGATCGAAGACATCTTTAAGGTAAAATAACACTACTAAAAATTAAGCTTATGGCAACCCTTTCAAAATCGTAGCTATAGATAATGTAAATGTCCCTGTATGGCTAATGGGACGTTTGGGACGCGTTCTGAGATCCAGCATTACAATAGGTCAACTGGAACGGTTTATTGTAACGGTTTCAAAACCGTCTCTGTATATGGATACTGTAACGGTTATGAAATTGCTACCATTGATCAATCTATGGGGACGATTTTCTGTTTTGTTGGGACGGTTATAAACCGTTGTGTTATAGTTATATTAACGATTTATTAAGTCTATTGCGACGGTTTTCATGATATATTGCAACGGTTTTGTTATATATTGGAACAATTATCTGTATTCTATTGCAACGGATATTACAGCATATTGCAACGGTTATTAGAGGGCTGCTATTGTTGTTTGCTACGTCTATTAGAACGGTTATATTGTCTATTGCAACAATTTACTATTGTAACTTCTAATATTTATGGAAGCAAAATGACGAATATTTTCCTATGCAATGAAATTTTATACGCCATAACTTATATAAACCACGAAATAAGATTAAAATATCCAACTCGCATTATCCATATACAAAAATAAAATATGAATACATTGTTTGATCAATAATTCAAAAGTCAAAATAGATCGATGAGTTTTCTAGCCTGTTTGGCCAAGCTTCTAAAAGTGTTTTTCTCAAAAATACTTTCGGTGAGAAGTAGTTTGTGTTTGTCTAATTAATTTGAAAAGCACTTTTGGGCAGTAATTAGTGTTTGGCCAAACTTTTGAAAACTGTTTCTAAGTGTATTTGTCTCAAAAATGCTTCTCAAAAAAGTGCTTTTGGAAAGAAGCTACGTTTTTCTGCTTCTCCTCAAAAGCACTTTTTTTCCTTCCAAAAGCTTGGCCAAACACCTCAATATTTGGCCAAAAGTGTTTTTGGCTAAAAAAAAAAAATTACTTTTGGCCCAAAATTAAGCTTGGCCAAACAGGCTATTAACACAACTAGAAATTCAGCAAAACAGACCACGGTCGACCATTTAGTCGATTAAAAAATCAACCAAAGTTGGTCGGTTTTTCAAAATATTTTTATTTTTTTTTACGAAACCGACCAACTTTGGTCAGTTTTCTTTGGTGCAAAAATGCGGAAAACTATTTTTGAGTCCTGCAAAATTTATTTTTCAAGAAACCGACCAACTTTGATCGATTTTTCATTTAAAATAAATTAAAATTAATATTAAAAAACCGACAGAAATCGATCAGTTAATTCGACCGGTCATTTTAAAAAACCGACCGAATTCGATCGGTAATTTTATTTTTTAATAAAACCGACTAACTTTAGTCTGTTATTTTCGTGCGAAAATAAAATTAAAGAGTATAAATGAAATAAAAGACTATCTTAAAACAAAATGCACCAATGATCTAGTGGTAGAATAGTATCCTGGCATAGTACAGACCCTGGTTCGATTCCCAGATGGTGTATTTTTTAATTACATAATTAAAATACCAACCAACTTTGGTCGAGTTTTTTGGCAATTATTTTTTTGAATTTAAATGACAAACCAAAATTGCTCGGTAATTTTCGACTAACTTTGGTCGGTATGCCCTTCTGACCACCCGTTAATGGTCACGTTTTGGACATTTATTGGCCACTACCGACCAACATTGGTCGATTTTTTTGGACGATTTTTTCCGAATTTTTAGTAGTGTAATTTGCATACAAAAAGTTCTAAACTAAAATATCCTTGAACATGATGATAGAAAATCTAAAAACGATCAACAATACTCGAGTAAGGTCTTCATCGCTGCTTTCATCTGCAATCGATGCACCTACAAAATTAATTCAAAAATAATTAAACGAAGAAGTTTTAAGATAATTGAATCTCAACTTTGAAAATTCAATTAGAAATAATTCTAACTTTTTCTGATTCTCAGTGTTAGTTTGGGACATTTTCTCCAAACAGAAAGAAACATCAAACAACTTCGAAAAGGAAAATGAAGATGTGGTAATAACTTTCTGCCAACAGAAAGAAACATCAAACAACAACTGGACGAGTTTTCTCAGCTAAACTTCGAAAAGGAAAATGAAGATGCGGTAATAACTTTCTGCTACCAGAAAGAAACATCAAACAATAACTCAATGTTGTAAAAAGCGGGCGCTTCCTCATTTAAAGCGAGAAGCGAAGCGAGACGACCCAACCATCGTTTCTGCTATCTGAAGCGTGGCAAGTATTCAAAAGCGGTCGCTTCCCACTAAAAAGCGAGAAGCAGCGATGCGAAGCGACTAAAGCAAGCGCTTCTATGTTTTAAAGGGCTGCCAACCTTTTTAATTTAAAAAGTTGTTCTTTTATTAAAATATATCGACCAGCAGCAACAGAGAAAGAAAGAAAGAGGCGACTAGGGCTCCAAGTTTTCTACACTTTTCAACTTCAAGATCATCAAGTTTAGTCCAAGTATGTGATTTCTTCTTCCTCCTTTTTCTTTCACTGTTTCAGCGTCCAAATAGCAGCGAAATGCTGGCGAATTTTTTTTCCCTTCAGTTCTTCTTCATTTTCTTGCATTGTTTCAGTGATAAAAATGCTGAAATGCTGCCCATTTTTTGGTTTCAGTTATACTACCATTTTTCGTAGTTGATGAAGAAGAAGAAGTTTAAGAAGATGACGAGCAATATAATAATGATAGTGGAATACAAGAATTTGACAATTTGACAATCTTGTACAAGAATACGATGCTCATTTTGCTTTAATTGATGCTACTCTTTAATTTTTTACATTGAAGTATTGAACATTTGCTTACAGTTACATGTGTTGTCTATGCAGTATTTATTTTAATATTTTTTTTAAAATTCCGCTTCACTTCAAAAAAGCTAACGCTTCGCTTCTCGCTTTAAGCGAAAATGGGCTTGTCTCTTTTCCTCGCTTCACGCTCTTCACAACACTGCAACAACTAGACGAGTTTTATCAGCTAAACTTTGAAAAGGAAAATGAAGATGTGGTAATAATTTTCTATAAATACAAGGCTACATGAAGCACCTAAGAAGCATTAAGCCCTGACAAAAATACTCTGGATCAACTCATAATGTATTCAATGCAGATTTAGAAGATTAGATTACTGTTAAAAACAACTGATATTCTTTACACTAGACGATAATCTACTTTCCATCTAAGACGAGTAGGAAATTCACATACAATAGAAAGAGACACTTAAGCATATTAAATTAGATAATATAGCTATACTGGATCAGTAGTTCACAAATTAGAAACAACAACAAACTAGCATTTGGTCCAAACTAGTGGTTTTCTTACTTCAATCATGAGTATGGAGCAACTGCAATAATATCTCCACAATAGTACTCGGTGACTAGAAATTTGACACTTCTGATGAAGCCAAGACATCTTCGATTTTTGCATTCTACAACTTAATCGTTTCTGCTTATAGCTTAATTGTCTTTTGATGTTGTACACCTTGTCCAAGTATGATTGTATTTTGTTTAGTAGTTTTAGGAAATTTCAGATTGCAAGGCCTTTGGCTAGTCTTTAAAAATAGCAGCAGCGGCGAGCAGAGTGTACAAGCAGTAGCAACAAAGTGAAAAAGCGAAAAAAAAATCAGCAGCAGTGAAGCAGAGAAAGAAGGGAAACACAACAGCAATGGCCAAAAAGGAGGAGAAAACATCTCCAGAAATAAGAAGAAGAACTTTAAGAAGTTCAAGCAGAAGAAGAACTTTAAGAAGTTCAAGCAGAAGAAGAACTTTAAGAAGAAGTTCAAGCAGAAGAAGAACTTTAAGAAGAAGTTCAAGAAAATGAAGAAGAAAAAGTAAAAAGTCACATAACTGGAGTTTCTCAGAGTTCCAATACCTAAAGAGTTCCTTAAACTGAGAAGCTGGAACATCTTCAGGGATATGTTGCATTCGAGTTTCATCATTTTCATAGGCGTCAAAGTGATCTTTTTTCAATCTACTCTTGGGCTTTCTCCTGGCAGCTTGAACTGATTCCAATGTCCATTTTTTTCCAGCTTCAGGAATATCATATTTATCCTACAATTGGTATCAAATCTGTTAGTACAGAAAATATGAAAGATTTTCAACCAAAAAATGAAAAGTTAAGAAGTTCAGACCTTGGTATATTCCCATATATCCTCTTGTGTCCATCTTCCTCCAATCCAAAATATCAAGAGGACACAAGAGTCGCATTCCTTCCCAATGTGCCGAGGAAGCTTCCAAACTCTATCACAACTGCTTCACTAGGACCGACGGGTTCAAAACTCTATCACGACAGGCTGAAGTTCCTCTACTTCAGTTGTTGCAAAGGATAGGGTCTTGTCACATGGCAAGCGAAACATTAGTAGTATATAGAGCAGTAAAAGTGAATGTATCTATCAGGTAAAAGCACGCGTAACACCTTTTTCTATCACAAAGTGGAACAACCGAGATGTAAAAATATAACTTAGACCTAAAACACCTTTTTCCTCCATTGGGATTCCATATATTTTGACCAATCCTTAGCAGATGACACTGGAAGAGACATCACATCTATCTCAATTTGTCTGGATAATATGGCCTTAGTATCCAATGATCTTTTATCTTCCTAGAAATGCACAGTGAAAGGGCTATTACAAGAATGATTAAGCTACCCATTTTTTTCAAAATTCACTGAATCACCAAAGGCTTGTCTAAATATGCAAACCATTTTCCTCCTAAGAATAGTAACGTATGAACCCTCTTATATAGTAATCAAACTCTTCATGTGTTTAACCAATATTAGAAAATAATGACTAAGTTCCAAAGAATCAACCTCTATGCAGTGATCTCACGTTCAAATGCTAACAACTATAGTATTTTTTAAGGAAGAAGAAGATAGGCTTCCCAAATTATTAATAGGGGTAAGGCGATTCTTTGGGCTTAAACATTGAAAGATGATCAAAATATAACAATAAATAATATAACAAAAAATTAAACAACTGCAAAGCATATGACCATTACCCTATCTAGATTTCACAAATTCAGCTTGCTTCACAATTGCTGGTTTACACTCCAAAGAATCGATATGCTCAATTAGTCAATCTATGCACTTTTTGTCCTTTTTCACTTTTGACAGAATTTTCATTCTCTTTGTTAGTATCCTTTTCTTATCAGGTTCTTATATCAATCAATTGTATCACAAGATATAGATACAATTAGAAACCAATTGATAACTAAATGCAAACATTTTTAGAACAAGGGAAGTGACTGGTTCTTCAGGATTAAACCACTGAATTACCAAAACAAACTCAACTTAAACAACATATATAAGAAGTCAATTCCTACTCCATCTATAACTCAACATAGATTCTGAAAAAGATCAGAACACTTACCAATACACATATTTTCATAAAAAAAAGAAGCGAGTCAATCATTAGGATCGAGAGTAAAACCCCCAACAGGAAGATTTATGAGATTAGAAGAGATGTCTCAATCTGAAAGTGCCAAAGCTTAAACAAAAGAAAAAAATATAATAAGAAAGAGCAAAAATCTATATCTTCCTTTAACAATGGTTTTAATTTCCCGAATCATATCTTTATGAACTAGTTGTTATATGAAAAAAACTTATCAAAATACGATAAAAAATCCATACTAAATCCCCAACTAAACCCGAATCAACTTACTTTATGAACTAGTTGTTTTAACAATGGTTTAATTTCCCGAATCATTATCTTTTAAAAGATTTAAACAAGAAATTGATCTATTCTCAACAGCCCTTTCATCTATCAAAATCCACCAACTAAACCCCCAATTTTACAAATTAGAAACCACAAAATTTATCATATAATACAAACAAAGGACAGAGTAAATTAACGGTATATCAAAAATATTACCAGAAAAAGAAAATAAAAGAAGCAGCGAAACAATTTTCCGGTGAAACAATAGCGAATATCGAACAACCACAGAAAATATCGAACATGGGAAAAATACCGACAACCTACATCTGAGATTCCTTATATTAGCCGAAATGGTTGTACTTCGTCGGAATGGATCTTTCTTCACCGTAGCAGGCCGAACATTTCGTCGGCTATTTTTTCTAGGTTTAAGACCGATGAGACGAGAGAGAGACGAAGTGCGTTTTCTAACTTTACAAAAACAATTAAAGAGTTAGTATTAAAATCTGGTGGGGTCATCTATTATTTTTTTTCATTTTTTTAATAAATATGTAGGAGGGAAAGTAGGGAGGGAAAAATAAATTATCCCAATATATATATATATTTTATTTTACCAAACCGTTCCCATAAAAAACCCTATTGTATCGCTTTTATAAACCGTCTTCATAGCTTTATTTATGGTGACGGTTACTGTCCTATTGGAATGGTTTTGTTTCAGAAGTGTCCCAAAAGCCTTTTGACTCTATTGGGATAATAAAAATTGTTCCAATACATAATCTATTGTAACAGTTCTCTAACCGTTACAAAATAACTGTTCCAATAGAACCATTTTTAGTAAGGAAAGGAGATACATAGTTACTCAGGGAATTTGTGGATAGATTTCAACGAGAGAGGATGATGCTACCGCGAGTACCTGATAATTGGGCAGTTATGGCGTTCGCGAGCAATTTAAACGAAAAAAGTCCAGAAGCTACGAGAAGACTTAAGGAAAGTTTGCGAGAGTTTTCTGCTACAACATGGAATGATATGTACAACAGGTACAGCACGAAGCTACGGATAGAAGAAGATACGGTTACACAGTCAAGGGTCGATGAAAGAGCAAGTTCGAGATGTTCAGAATCTGAAAAAAGGTCCAGGAAAAATAGGTATGAACCTTACATGGGACCTGCAGGACGGGCTTCACGGTCTAAACAGGAAAATATACGATCTTACTCCAGATCAAGGCACAACGATGCGAGTTCATCATCCAGGTTCAGAAAAGGACGGGATGCGCGAGGCAGTGATTCCAACACAGATGCGAGGATTGGAGATTACAGTTTCAGTGTTAGTACTTCCGAGTTGGTAGCTGATTTAAGAAGTATAGGAGATAAGGTGCGGTGGCCTAAAGAAATGAGATCAAACCCGAGCAAAAGAAATCCAGATTTCTGGTGTGAATTTCACAACGATCATGGCCATAAAACAACATATTGTAGGTTATTACAAGGTGAAGTTGAGCATTTGTTGAAGCAGGGCTATTTAACTGACTTGTTCAGTGAGAACGGTAGGCAATCGTATATGAAGAATAGACAAGAGGCTCCAAAACCTCCGTCTCCAAAGAGAACAGTCAATGTGATAAGTGAGGGATATGAGGTCAATGGTGTGACATATACAACTGCAAAAAAACGTTAAAAGTCACGGTCACTCATGGAAAGCGAGTTCGCGATGTTTTGGATGAAGACAGTATAATATTTGATAATGCAGATGCTGATGGCTTGTTAATTCCTCACAATGATGCGCTGGTAATATCTTTACTTGTACATGATATTAATGTAAAACGAGTTTTGATTGATCCAGGTAGCTCCGTAAATATCATTCTTCTAAGGGTGGTGAATGAAATGCAAGCTAGCGACAAGGTGGTACCAAAAGCACGATCTTTGTATGGATTTGATAATTCAAGTATTATCACAAAAGGAGAAATAATGCTTACCACATTTGCAGAAGGAGTTATTAAGGATACGAAACTCCAGGTGATAGATGCTGATATGGCTTATAATATGATTATTGGGAGGCCATGGATTCATGATATGGACGTTGTACCATCTACATTACATCAAGTTATTAAGTTTCCTTCACAATGGGGGATTCGACAAATTCGTGGAGATCAGCAGGCCTCTAAAAGTATCAATTCGGTGGCGGATTCAAGCACAACGAATGATGTTGCAGATAAGAAATAGCAACTATAGAATTCAGTTAAGGATATAATAATACAAACCTCAGCTGAAAGCATTTCAGGATAGACGGATGTAGATTCAAGACCTGATATTATTCAAGAACCATAAGAGAATGAAAACATCAAAACAACGACTGAAGAACTCGAAGCTATCATGCTATTCAAGCACCGGCCAGACAGAAAAGTTTACATCGGAGCAAAACTGAACCCAAAAATGAAAGGTAAATTAGTTAAATTTTTAGAAGCTAACACAGATTGCTTTGCTTGGTCGCATTCAGATATGACAGGTATACCACCGGAGGTGATGACTAATAAACTGAATGAGGATCCATCGTACCCACCAGTCAAGCAAAAGAAAAGGAAGCAAGGGTCCTTCAAAAATCAAGTGATTGAGGATGAGGTGCAAAAGCTTTTAAAAATTGGATCTATACGAGAAGTAAAGTACCCAAACTGGTTAGCTAATACTATGGTAGTTCTAAAAAAGAATGGAAAATAGCGGGTTTGCGTAGATTATACTAATCTAAATAAAGCTTGCCCTAAAGATTCGTTTTCTTTACCGCATGTAGATCAATTAATTAATTCTACCGCAGGTCATGAGGTGTTAAGTTTTTTAGATGCATATTCACGTTATAATCAAATAAAGACGGATCCCCTAGATGAAGAAAAAACTTCATTTATTATAGATAGGGGGATTTATTATTACAAAATTATTCCCTTTAGTTTAAAAAATACTGGGGCCACGTACCAAAGATTGATGACTAAAATATTTCAAGAACACCTGTGAAAGACCATGGAAGTCTATATTGATGATATGTTAGTCAAGTCAACACAAGCAGGGGATCATTTTCAACACCTTTCAAGCACTTTCGAAATTATCCGCAAATACAATATGAAGCTAAATCCAGAAAAGTGTGCTTTTGGCGTGGCTTCAAGTAACTTTTTAGGTTTTCTTGTCTCTAACAGGGGCATTGAAGTGAATCCTGCACAGATCAAAACCATTGAGGAGATACCAGGCATACTCACAAGCAAAAAAAGAGGTGTAGAGGTTAACAGGGAGGATAACAACATTGGGAAGATTTATTTCAAAATCTTCATAGAAAAGTTTTAAATTCTTTTCAAAATTGAAAAAGCAGAACCAATTTGAGTGGACTGGCGAATGCCAACAAGCCCTCAAAATCTAAAATCATATTTGTCAAATCTGCCCCTACTGGCCAAACAGAAAGATGGAGAAAGGCTACTTATTTATCTCACCGTATCAGAAATGGCGATAAGCGCAGTATTGGTGCGAGAAGATATAGGTAAACAATTTTCAATTTATTATGTTAGCAAATCTTTGCTGGATGCTGAAACACGATATCCTCATTTAGAAAAACTTGCTTTAGCATTAATTATGGCATCTAGAAAGTTGAGACCTTATTTTTAATGTCATCCTCTCTCTGTAATAACTGTTTTTCCTCTAAGGAACATATTGCATAAATAAGAACTATCCGGTAGGTTAGCTAAATGGGCAATAGAACTCAGTGAATATGATATCATATATCAGCCTAGAACTACAATAAAATCGCAGGTTTTAGCAGATTTTGTGGCGGATTTCAGCACAAATATAGTTCCTGAAGCAGAAAAGGAACTACAGGTATTTACGGATCTAATCTGGGGCCTTGGATTTTATTTACCGATGGCTCCTCGAATGTTAAAGGAGCGGGTTTAGGTATTGTACTAATCCCACATTCAGGTGAAATCATAAGACAAGCAATAAAATGCTATCCCATTACTAACAATGAAGCGGAGTACGAAGCTGTGATTGCAGGTTCGGAACTAGCATGAGAACTCGGTATAGAACAGATTATAATCAAAAGTGATTCCCAACTAGTGGTTAACCAGATACAACGGACTTACATAGCAAGAGAGGCACGAATGCAACAATATCTGTTGCGGAGATAATAAATACAGAAAATGCTATAGTAATACATTTGTTTCATTCGACGCTCGACCAAGATAAAAATAAGGTAAACTTTAACAATTTGACTTGGGATTGGAGAAACGAATTTGTTAACTTTTTGCAGTACAGAATTTTACCTGAAGACAAGAAAAAGTCTCAGTTACTTTGCCGAAAAGTTGCCCGGTATTATTTGAGTCGTGGAAATCTATACCGAAAGATCTTCGGAGGACCTTTAGCACGATGTCTCAGACCTTCTCAAACAGAATATGTGATGAGAGAAGTACACGAGGGGCATTGTGGCAATCACCCTGGAGGAATATCATTGGTGAAAACTCTAATAAGAGTAGGATATTATTGGCCAAAAATGGAAGAAGATGCGAAAAATTTTGCACCCAAATGTGATAAGTGCCAATGATATGGCAACAATATGCATCGCCCAGCGGAGTTGTTACATCCAGTTATTTCGTTGTGGCCTTTCATGAAGTGGGTCATGGATATCGTAGGTCCCTTATCTCAAGCTAAAGGAAAGGTACGGTTTCTATTAGTTTTGACAGATTATTTTTTAAAATGGGTAGAAGCAGGAACTTTTAAACAGGTACGAGAAAAAGAAGTCACGGACTTTATTTGGCAAAACATTATCTGTCGATTCGGAGTTCCAAAAAAAATCATATGCGATAATGGCCCACGGCTCATAGGCACAAAAATCAGAGAATTTTTTCAGAGTTGGCAGATTAAACGGATAACGTCCGCACCTTACCACCTAATAAGTAGGGATTTTGACTACTTATTTATAATCTTTTACTTTAGTTTAAGCTCAAATATGCTTAAAGGTATTCCCGAAAACTGATAAAATGTGCTTACTTGCAGGAGCATTGGAAAAAGAGCCAAAATGATAAAATTTAACTCAAGAAGGAGTATTTTTGGATAAGGACTAAAACCAAGCAAAAAGAGCAAAGTGCAGACCGCACAATATTGAGTGTGGCTGCAGACTATGAAGGACCTCTAACAGAATTCTTTTGCCAATTGCGGGCCGCACAATTATTGTGCGGCCGCAGAAGATGAGGTTTAGAGAGATGGAGTTCTGAGTCCATGAAGAAGTGCGGACCGCACTATTATTATGCGATCGCAGAATTCAAGAGTGTGGCTGCACTCAAAAATGTGCGGTCCGCAGAAGTCCCTTCTGTCAAGCTCAAATTCAAGAGTGCGGCCGCACTCAGAAATGTGCGGTCCGCAGAATCTGAAGAAGTGCGATCGTAACCCAGAATTGTGCGGCCGCAGAAGTCCATCCTGTCAAGCCCATCTTCAAAGTGCGGACCAC